TCTCATACCAGTTAGAATCTTGATCATTGAAAAGTCAGGAAACAACAGATGCTGGAGAGGATGTAGAGAAATAGGAATGCTTTTACATTGCTAGTGTGAGTGTAAATTAGTTCAACCATTATGAAAGATAGTGTGGTGATTCCTCAAGGATCTAGAACTAGAAATACCATTTGACCCAGTAATTCCATTACTGGGTAATACCCAAAGGATTGTAAAGCATTCTACTATAAACACATGCACACATGTTTATTGCAACATTATTCATAATAGCAAAAACTTGAAACCAACCCAAATGCCTATCAATGATTGACTCAATAAAGAAAATGTGTCACATTTACATCATGGAATACTATGCAGCCATAAAAAGGAATGAGTTCATGTTCTTTGCAGGGACGTGGATGAAGCTGGAAACCATCATTCTTAGCAAAGTAACACAGGAACAGAAAACCAAACACTGCATGTTCTGACTCATAAGTGGGATTTAAACAATGAGAACACAGGGATGGGAACATCACACACCGGTGCTTGTCGGTGGTGGAGGGAGGAATGAAGGGAGGGCGTTAGAACAAATACCTAATGCATGCGGGGCTTAAAACCTAGATGACAGGCTGATGGTTGCAGCAAACCACCATGGCACATGTATACCTATATAACAAACCTGCACGTTTTGCACATGTATCCCAGAACTTAAAGTATAATAATAAACTTGTTAAAAATCATACTGTTAAGGAGGAAAAAAAAATGTGAGTTTTGTGAATGTCCGCAGAAACATTTAATCCCATCATCATAAGGTTATGTAAGAGTTCGGGGGACATGACCAAAGGGAAGCCAAGAGGTTTCTGGGAGTAAAGGTTCTTCCCATAGAGGGCCTTTTCTGGACCTGCCACTAGAAGTCAGGAAAAACTAACCTACCTAGCCAGACAAGAATTGACGGCCAAAAATGTAGATGAGTCTGTTTAGTAAAAATCATGTATTGAGCTGTTATATATGAAAATTTCTGACATTCCCAATAATTAAAATTGTGAACAGGAAAAGAAATGAATACCTGTATCTTCACTTCATTAATATAAACATGAAAGAAATATAATTTGCATACTTAAGAATAAAGATCTGTTTAAAATTGGCACCAATAAAAAAATAAAAGCTTAAAAAGAGGGAAAAGGTCGACCTAACTCCACTTAGAAATGCTGGGTTTCAATCTATTGATTAAGCAAAAAATATATTGAAAGCAAGGTAAATAAAATTTCTGAGAATGAAATTTTCATCTACTTCTAAAGTCTTACTATTTAAAATTATATTTAAGCATAAATTCCCCAAAATCAATGAATTGTGGTTCTGGCAAAAGATTATATCTTACCTCTTTCAATATTTTCAAAATCTTGCAATTATATCTGAAATTAAATGATTTATTTAATTATGTTACAAATCCACTATCATAATTATGTGTTATTATGCTAGATGCTGGGTTAATGAAAATGTAATTCAGACATGATTCTTCAGTCTCCATTATCTTAGCATTTAATGGAAGTGAGAGTCACATACACAATAGACTACAACAATATACAAACTGCAATTATTTGTCTCAATAAACCTATAAATTTTATTCAACCAAAAAAGACTAATATTGTCCCCATAGTACTCTTTGAAAAATCAAAGTATTTTATTCTATTATCTCTCATAAATACAAAGGCAAAATGACCTTTAGTCTTGAGACATAAGATAGCTACTATCTGATGGACTATAAGATGTCAGATATAACTACTGTACTAGAATAATTGAGTGAAGTAATTGTAGAGGATTCCTCTGGGCAGGAAAAAAACAAGAGGGAAACAGTAAATGCCTAGAGAACATGGAGGAGAGAAGATAAATCCTATGGGGAACAAAATAAAAATAAAGAGGAAATAAACTTCATATATATTACCCAGGTTTGCTTAAATGCAGCTTTCGTTTTCAAGAAATATAATTTGAATAATCAGTCAACTGAATCTAGTTTCTATTTCAGTTGTTTAAAAATTACTGATAAAAACTTTCTGACTGGGTGTGGTGGCTCACGCATGTAATCCCAGAACTTTGACTGACGTGGTAGATCACTTGAGGTCAGGAGTTTGAGACCAACCTGGCCAACATGGCAAAACCCCGGCTCTACTAAAAATACAAAACTTAGCCAGGGGTGGTGGCAAGTGCCTATAGTCCCAGCTGCTCACGAGGCTGAGGCAGGAGAATCGCTTGAACCAGAGGAGGAGGTTTCAGTGAGCAGAGATCGTGCCACTGCACTGCAGCTTAAGTAACAGACTGAGTGACACTTGGCCTTAGTAAATATATATATATGTTATATACTTTAAATTTTAGGAATTTAAATTTTTTTTCTATTTCTAAATATTAACTTTTGTAAAATGCTTGTTACTATATATAGACAGGGACACTTAAAAATATTACTCTCAAAGTGTAAAAACAATCTACTTACAATTATCTGACATTTTGGAAGAGAAATATTCCAAAAGACTTAAAATACTTGTTTCCTTTAATTCTGGCTGTACTGATTTGTCCAGGTGTAAAATATATTTTCGGGAACTTTTACAGTGACAGAAACCGATCAAAGCAGTTTTTCGCAAATCAGAAGTGGCCGCATACATGCAGATTTCTGCAAGAATTACTGTATATATGTAGACTACATTCCAGGCCCAGGAAAAATCTTCTACCTTGCAACTTTCCTCCTGAAATAAGAAAATAGATATTTGATCATCAAAGTATGTCTTTGCATATTAATAACTATATAGTGTACTTATAATAAGTATCTTCAAACTTTCTGGGGTTGTTAAAAGACCATAATAAAATAATATTTCTAAATGTGTTCATTCAAAAACAGGTTTGCCATGAATAGACTGCATAACATACAGTTCAAAGAATAAAAAATATAAATAGCTAATAATTATATAAAAAACAACTTTGCAATTTACGTAGCAGTTAATGGAATGAAAATTAATCCAATGAGATACTATTTCCCATATTACATTCAAAAGGAATCTTTTGATATACAGCTCAATTCTAGGTGTGACAATTTCATTTATTGTTCATAGGGATGCAAGAAAGTTATTAATATATCTTATGGAAAGTAATTTGGACATCTGTCCTAAAAACTTGGAAAGAAACTTCATAGTCTTTCACTTGGTAATTTAATGTTATTAGCCTACTCTAAAGAAACAGAAGTGTACATAGAGATTTTATGTAGGACAATAACAATTCAACATTACTTCTAATTAACTGTGAACAATTAGAAACAAATTTAATAATCAACAATACAGAAATGTTTCCATAAGTTATCTTACCTCAACCAAAATACAAATTTTAATATTATGTAATGAAAATGAAAAATGTTTATGATAAACGGTTAAGGTGAATTTGCTTTTATATTTAATTAAAATTATTATTACAGTTATACACATTATATGCCCTAATATGATATGCAATTTAAATAGTGGCAAAAATAAAATCTCTTTCTCTTCAGTTCTCTTTTCTCATATAAATTAGCAATGTTACCTGATTTTGAACAGACATAATGCTTGAAACAAAATCTTTCACTAGGTCCATTAAAGCTTTCAAGCAGCCCATGTTTAATTTGGCAGCCTCCCCAAGGACCAATAAAGCCAGTACTGAATCCAACCTGAAAATTTTATGGACAAAAGGATAAAGATTGTAATGGAAAATAATAATAATCAACTTTTTAATGTAAAAAAAGGTAATAGGCCAGAGGAAAGACATGTCTGGATTACCAGATATATTTATTTTCAATAAATATTAGTATTGGCTCTCACTTATGGTAAAAATCTGCAAAGAGGAGGCACATTTAGGTAAGATGTTTGAGTTCAGAGTAGTGCTCTGATGAATCCGAGTAATAAATACTACAAATAATCACATTTCTTCATAGATCCTGAACAACAAGCAATCAGGGGCTCTGGTTCTAGAGTGCCCCCCAAAATTCACAATAGGTTTTAATTTTTAACCTCTTGCAACTGATTCCACGAGTTGACTTTCAACAGATGATCTTCTTCTCCAAAGACAGCAATTTTTTAAAGATGGGCTTTCTCTAAGACACTCCAAAGATTCAACATTCTTTGATTTTGCAAAAAGTACAATTTCTCAAAATAAAATTTATATTTCACATGAACAAAAGACTAAGCATTATTTTTTAAATATTATAAAAACTGGGAAATCACACAATGTGTTAGTTATAAATGTACGTATATTTTGAAGGTTTTGAAAATTACAAATCTGTGATTTTTTTACTTAAATAAAAAATAGTTTGAAAGAGAATGGATAAGAATGCAATTAAAAATGTTTTGTGCCTATAGCTGTTTATTGCCTTGATTTGTATGCAATTAATACATTTAAAAGTTAGTATATTTTACAAGAATATTTGAATTTCACAACTGTGATATTTCAGGCCCATAAGTTCAAGGTCATCATCATTTTCTAAATCAAACTTTTCTGATTATGAAAATTAAAGACAATTCTTTACATTATATAGGGCTTTACAGATGTTGATGTGCTTTCACATAAATTATTTCATTTGATTTGAAAAACAATTTTTGACACCTTTAAGATCTTTTAAGACCTGTTTTCACATTAGAAAACTGAGACATTAATAGGTCTGAGGGACTTATCTGAGTTTCCTTTTTAAGCTAGGTTAGTTGTAACTCAAGTGTTCTCTCATCAAGAAGCATTTTCTGTCTTGCAATTCAGCTTCTAAACCATTACATAAATGTCCATATGTAACCTTAGTGTTGCAGGCGCTGCCTATTGCCCACCTAATACTATTTGTCTCCTTTTCTAATAGAACCTGAATTTTGTTCAAGATGACAAGATGCTCAATTAAGTTTTCTCCCTCAAGATGGAATTCTCTGTATCTTGACTGGAGTAGTGATTACATGAATGTATGCATTTGCCCTGTGTACATTAATGTAGGAAGTTCATGGTATCTAATTTATATTTCAGTAAGTTTGATTAAAATTGACTGCCTAGATTCCCTTGAAGTTTAGAACAGCCCTACGTGTAGATTTGGTTAATGAGCTATAAATGGAAGCATATTATGAAGGCTTCCAGGTAAGCCATTATTTTTCTGGTGAAGACAAAAAAATTTTAATTAAATAACAGGTGTTATTTTACTCCTTGCTCATCCTCTTCCTCCTGCTTGTAATGCATATATTGCATGATACCAGAGACACAGCAGCCTTCTTACAACAAGGAGGATAAAAATCACCTGCTATACATGACAGAAAAGGTAACTAGAAGAAGCTTGGGTCTTGAAGATTTCCTTAGCACTGCACTACTTGTCATGTGCAATAAAGAAAGTCCTGTTTGGTTATGCAAATGTAGTCAAGTTTCTGCAAAATGAAGAAGATAAAATCTCATGAACATGAACTTTAGAGTCAGAAACATCAAGATGAAATCTTAGCTTTGCCACTAATTAGGTACATGTTATAGGATAACTTATGTACCCTATCCCAATCTTAATTTACTTGTCTGTAAAGAAAACACAGCAAAACTCATTTTTTAGAGACTTTTGTGAGATTTGAATGAAATGCTCTATGTAAGATGACTAGGTCCAGAATGCTAAATTGTATTCAATTATATACTATTTGTTTGAAGTAAAAAAGATATGAGTTCGATAACTTTCTCATTAAAGTCATAGAGTGACTGGAAGAAGAATTCTGTCCCAATGACCACCAAGAAAGAGGATAAGTCATTCCCCAGACTACTTATCATTTATACTTCACATTATACTCAATTAAAAGAGAAGATACTCATAGAGTTCATAAAACTTCTTTTCCATTGAATATACTTCATAATCAGGAGGTTTTCATTTTTCTTTTCTCTTTTCAATCTGGAAAATTAAAGCTAACCTAGGGTAGTCTCATTGAGAAAGTGTCAGCCACTTATGGTAGGGAAATGCTTCACCAGAAACACACTATTTTTAATTAATTCTGCTAATCACAAAATTGTCTGTGAATGAAAATGCTTTCATCAAAAACAGAAACATTTATACTTATGAACTGCAGTTTGTTAAAAACTAAAGTAAAATTGAAAATCAATGCCATAGAAAGAAGAACTAAAATTGGATTAGGCTAGAAATTTTCATACAGCACTAGCTTCTTTGTGAACTCATTAAAATACAGAAAGTCTCAAGCATCCGCATATTGACTTGGTTTCACATTGCCGTGAAATTAAAGTTATACAAAATAATATGTAAGTATAATATATTTGCTCTAATTTTGTAAATAAAGAAACTGAGCTGAGGTTTACTTGTCCAAAATAACAATATATACATACATGCACACATTTATAGAGGTTAGGAACATCAGCATTTAAAAGTTTTCTTAGGTTCTTCTTACTCCTCTATATCCATTTTCTCAATTACTAGATTTTATTTTTTTCATGGAATTAAAATGTCTCTAAGTAGTAACCCTTGCACAACTTATTTCAACATTGCTATAAATATTTCAGAAAGCACAGACAATATCAAAAATTCACATGATCCTGAAAACAGAAGGAAAGAGACGTCACTAATAATATCAACTTACAGAGAATTTCCATAAACCATAAAGTTGACGAAGCTGAAAGCAGTAAGGAGCAACCACATGCCACTTCTTGAAACACAGCAGCCTTGTTTTCCCCAAAAGAGAGTAAAACAAAAAATATTTTAAAGAAAAAAATTATCTCTACTGTTTTGCATAGAATCTCACAGAAAGTACAGCTAATCCTTTATCTTGAGGCCCTGATTTTTTTAAGTAGCAAGAGAGTATTATTTCTGGGCTCATCCTTATCTCCCCATATTTATTCAGAGATGATAACATCCAGTATCAATATACAGTACCTATAGGTATGTGGGATGAGAGAAGACAGGAGTGGGGATGATAAAATTGGAATACAGAAGTGCATTTTCTCCTCACAGGTAGACTATCAAAGAGTAAGGAGAACACAGGAAGCTCCCTGATAACATCACACACTGAGTGTTGTAATTTTTACCAACTTTGTTATGAATGCTGTGAATACAAACTTTTTATTTAAAAATATCCTTTTAATATATTTCTCCTGGTTCTAGAAAAAGTAACTGGAAAGTGAAGAAGAGGGATCTACACAAGACCAGTGAAAATAGCCTTTAGCAAAGGCTAAAGAAAATATCAGTCTCAAAATCAGAGAAGGTCATAATTCTGAAAATGATTTCTCACAGGAACCAGAAGTTATTTTTACAAGACCTTTATGCATCTTTAATAAAGCTCAGGATAATAAACCACAATGAAAAGCCTTGATGCTGAGATGAAAGGTAGTAGAGTAAGATAAAAGATTTCAAGGAAATTAACATGTAAAAATATAATTAAAATCCATAGTTGAGGAAGTTAACTGCAGAATAACACTTGAAAGAGGAAACTTGAGAAAGCCTTTCATAATTTAGAGGAAAATGTGGAAAGTATATCTATTACTAATTATTATTGAAACAGACAAAAATCAAGGAAAAATGTGGTAGTCCTACAGAAGGAAGAAAGGAAGAAAGGAAGGAAGGAAGGAAAGAAGGAAGGAAGGATGGAAGGAAGGAAGGAAGGAAGGAAAGAAGGGAGGAAGGGAAGAAGGGAGGAAGGGAGGAAAGGAAGGAAGGGGGAGGGGAGGAAAATGGGGGAAGGGAGGGGAAGGGGATGAGGGAGGGGAGGGGAGGGAGGGCAATTTAAAGTTATGAAGTAAATGAGGCCCAACTAAAGAATAACCGTAACAAAAAGTCCAAAATTGAATGCAGGTGTCCACAAGATATATGGGATTTCCTACCATAATGTAAAACACAAAATAAAAATAAAAACCCTAAGCACCGACCAAGAGGCAGAAGTTGGGAACACATATGAACTATGAGTAGTCAATAACAGGCCTTGAAAAAATGTAGACCAGCAGCCACAGTATTTGTGCACAGCTTCTCAAAGTGGAGTTTCTCTCTAGGTAACGTAGAGATTACCTCAACAGGCTCCTAACATGAACAAGAAAGGGTGGTAGTTAACTCCTGCCTACTAAATCACAAAGATACTCCTAATAAATGATGGACTGATAATTAAACAGAAAAAAAAGAGAACTTTGAACACCTCATCATGGTGTTAGGAAACAGTACAGTAACATTTAGAGATTTGAAGGGGGAATTAAACAAAAAATAAACACTGTAATCATAGATGTCTATTACCAGACAAAATGTACATTATCCTTCTTAGGGGAAAAATAAATGGTGATAAATGTAACCAGCCAAGGTTTGTATATAATCATGGCCTTACCTACTTTAATAAGTAATCTACAAATACATTTAGAAATTTATTCAAGCTAAGAAACAAATTAATAGTATTTAACAGTTTAAGAAAGGAAAATCCTAGTGTTAAATGACTGCAGACGAGTTGAAGAAAAAGATAAATTTAAATAAAAATAATTTTGTAAATATGACCAAATAATTAAATGCAGATATATATATAATTATTTAAGGAGAAGATATAACATTTGAAATAATAACTACAATGTTATCAGAGCTCAAGTTATATTAGCAGACTAGAAAGGGGAGAATTAGAGTAAATAAATTAGTCTCAGTCATTGCTGCACGTGGAGAAGAGGGCAGTTAGTATTTCACTCTTGATTTTTACT